GGGAAATAATGATTTGATTAATGTTTTGAACGCAATAACAATAATTATATAAAAAATGAAATTCTAGAAAGAGAAATACAGCAAGGACAAATATAAATTAATATAAAATATAAACATACAGATAAATTAAAAACGGATATGGGAGGCTGCACACGCGATTGGAACGGTCTGGAAAGACGTACCACATATGTAAGCCAAGAGTTGGTAGGCAGGATCCAACGAATACATCCGGAGTCAAGACCCTCCAAAAAAAGAAATATGTACTCCATCTACCCTGAATCCAACTCAAGCCAGGTACGACTTATCTGGTCTGGCCTTTGGAAGATTTCCACTCTCACACACAAAAAAGAATAGTTCACCAGGAATTAAAATACTACTAAGATATATGTGCTGTTAATGCAAAATTCCAGTGCCTTAGCCTATTATGTGGAATAAGATTACACAGCGATAACAGCGCCAGCGGTTAGTTAGTAGCAGCCCTTCTTGATAAAGTTCTTATGTATGAAGCCATCACACCAACAGTTTTAGACAAATCCCAAAAAGTGCTAATGCCAATGTTAGATAGGAAAAGGCGCGCTAAAAATAAATATATTGTTATACAGAAACAATTGTATAGTGTATGATGTAGTTTAACACACTGTACAACTATTTGTATAAAAATAAAATTAGCACAACGTTGCCAGTAATTGCAGCTGCTGCTTCTTGTATGGACTTCGGCGAAATGTTGTGTCATAATTGCAGTTTCTTTGGGCAAAACTCGAAAATTTTAATGCTAGAAAGTATGGACAATATAAACCAACAATTTAACGAAAACACAATAAATTCGAATGAATATTAAGAAAAGAATACTTGTTCATATTGAATTTGGCGCTCATAATACTTTAAGAATAAAGAACGCATATTGTCATAAAAATCTTAACCCAGGTGCTACGTAAGAACAAATGAAGAAATAATACCTAAACAAATTCTTGAAGTACAAGCCCTAACTTCGCCCAATATATGGTCAGAAAACCAAAATTGTCAAATAGTCTGAAAAACTAAACATACAGCTACTAGAGGATCAGACTCAAGAATAACTGAAGATATAGATAGGAAAATGAGAAAGTTCCACTACCTGATGGAATACTAAATGAACTCTTTAAACATAAGGTTATTCGTCAATAGGTAGAGACTACAGAGGTCTCAACAAAATAGGACAGCGATAGATACACGTTATATTGATATTTAGACCAATTTCTGAGAAAGCATTGGCAGATAACAAACCTGCCTATATTTGCTCTGTAGATTTAACTAAAGCTTTTAATTTCGTTAGGGTAGAAGATGTGTTAAACCAGCCTAGCAGACTGGTAAAGATAATTAAAGACATTAACAAAAAACCAAATTAAAAGTTGAAGTCAAGAAAAAACAAATATCGAAAGTAGATATCAAATTTGAAAAAATAACTATATTTCCTTCTATCTGAGAACTTTTCCGAGCTCCCTTATAACACCAGTGATAACCTCAAATGTATTTTAAGCACTAGAAAGAGACAGAAAAAACTTTTCTGCAGTTTAAAAAGGCAATGCTGAAACGAGAATACAACTTTAATTTTTAAACTCAAATTAAGAAATATGTTGTTTGTAAATATACACCTTTCTTTTTTAGTTTCTATTTATTTTTATAGTCAACATATATATATATATATATATATATATATATATATATATATATATATATATATATATATATATATATATATATTATAAACAACGTAGGCACATTTAGTAAAATTATGAATAAAAATGTTATTAACTATAATTAATGCAACATAATCATAATTCCAAAGTAATCAAATAAAACATACCCATTCTCTAATTCTTCCATTATCTTCTAAATTAAAACTTTTCAAGTCGGTAATTTTAAAATATTTATGGATGATTCATCCTTGTGATAGTTCTAAAAATATTTCGACTAATGTTCGGTTTTTGAGGGTTCACAAACTAAACTATTAAAAATAAGTCTGATAACTACGAACACACCTGATTACAAGCTGCATTAAAAGCGATAATTCATTGTAAACATTTTAATGTTTAATGTATAAACGTCATTGCCATTGCCACAGGTACGTTACCAAAACGGATGCCGCTGACAATTTATTTAGATACCAGGGGACGCCCAAATGTTTTAAAAGTATAAACATGTTAAATTGTAATACTAGTTTCAAAGCACAAACACTTGATCTTTTTCTATGTCAAATAATTCGATTGCAAGAAAAAAGGTTGCTGAAAACCAGTCTCATATAATGATATACTTATTTTTTAATATCAAACAGAGGTGTTATACAAATTAGGTGAAATGTTGTTTTCGATTTTTAACCTTTTTCCTCTTAACGTCATCACTCATCCGGTCTATATCATTACTGAACATAGGACTCCATTTGTCACTTTTTCAGTTATACGAATTTACTGGGTTGTTGGTAAATCTTGATTTCTTTTTTAGATTCGAGTCTTCATTCTATATTATATTGTGGAATACATATATCTTGTATTATCAGTCAGTGCCTTACTTAGTTTCATTTTAATGTTTCATATGACCTGCATGATATATTATGGATTGTTTGTGTTTCTTTCCTAACTAATTACCAGTATAAGTAGTACGACATCTTCAAATAATGCAATAAAAGAGCAAGACAGCATTAAATTCATAGTTAATCATGATTTGATCATTGCTAGACTACATTTGTAATCAATTTCTAACCTTGCTCTAAAACTTACAAAAGGAGTTGGTCTTATTTGACCAGATTTAGACAATTTTGGTTACCTATTCTTATTTTTAGTTTCTTAGTTTATCAATACAAAATCCAAATAAATACATACGAAATAAAAGAGAAATTTGATTGAAGGTTATTTACAACGAATGATATTCTACATAGCTTGGAAAGGGCTCTTGATATTATATAGAAATTTTATCCCAATAAAAAAGAAAAAAGTATAGAATAAACCTTTTAGGGAGAGCGCCCACCAAAGTGGCGTGGCAGTGGCAAGTAGCAAGTAGCACGCGTCTAGCATAATGTAACCAATGAAAACGAATGATTCAGTTTACACCAAAATGACAGTAACGTCATTCATTCTAATCATTCGTTAGGATTGGTTACATTATGCTAGACGCGTGCTACTTGCTACTTGCCACTGCCACGCCACTTTGGTGGGCGCTCTCCCTTAGATTAGTCTGGGAGAAGTATTAAATATATGTCAAAGTTCAAATTTGATATCCTCTTCTGTTTTTTTTCTTCTTTTTATGTAAACATGACCGTATGTTTTTCAATGTGCCCAATGTCTCCAGCAAGTTGTCGTTCCATCGTTTTCGTGGTCTTCCTACTAATCCGTCTTCCTATCGGGGAACCGTCTCTTACCGTCTTTTCTACTTTATTTATTGTCATTCGGCTTATACGATAGTTCAATTCTACTCTTCTATTTCTTACCCAGTTCTTGATGTTCTCCAACTTGCATGTACGTCGTATATCTGTACTTTTAGCTCTGTCCCATTGTTTTTTACCAACAATTGTTCTAAGTGTTCTCATCTCTGCTGTTTCTAATAACTTTTTTGTCCTCTCTCAGGTCGTGTTTCTACCACGTATATCATTATTGATCTGATGAATGTTTTGTAAGGTCTGCCTTTCATTTCTTTTGAGATATTTTAATTTCTCCACATTGTTTCGTTCAAACATCCTACGGCTCTGTTTGCGTTATTCACTTGATCTTCCACTTCTGTTTAAAGCATTGCGTAGTTAGATAATATAATGTCTAGATATTTAAACTCCATCACTTGTTCTATTATCTGACCTTCCAGCTCCAACTTACATCTGAGTAAATTTGCTGGTATAACCATGCATTTTGTCTTTTTTGGGAAATAAACATGTTACATTTTCTGTAAATCATCTTCACTTCGATAGAGCATTATTGCGTCGTCTGTATAGCAGATTATTTTAAATTGTTTTTCTCCCATTTTTGATTATCCCATTGTCAGATTTAATAAGGCCAGTTAGTTCTTCTTCTACTATAACTTTTAATGTGTTGTTTTGGTAGATATCTTCAATAGTTTTGATTAAAAATATCTACCAAAAGGTAGATATTTTACACCTAGAGGCATCCATCTTGCGTACAATACGTGGATAACGTCTTTTAATTAGAGTTCAGTGAAATGTTTTTTACGGTCCACGAAACATGGACGTTGGTTTGTTGCATTCTAATGATTTCTTTTGCACTTGCTTCGTTGTAATGCTTCGGTGCATGATCTTCCCGACCTAGAACCTTGTTGTTCTTCTGCTAGTGTTATAATTTCATTCAGTTTAATTTGTTATCACTTTGGTTGTTAATTTTAGTGTTGTATTTAATAAATTATTTCCTCTCTAATATAATACACGATTATAGCCGCTATTTCTGTGAGATAAGCATTAGATAGAGAGGAAATTAAGAACCAGACCCAGGATTTATTAGGCTTATCCAGTTGAGGCTCTGTCGATAGTGACCATCCATTTTAGGTGTGACAAAACTAATAAAACAGATGAAGCAAATATGAAAGAGGAATAACTGAGCTTTATCTATCTCAAAAGTATGAAACTTGATCCTATTAATGACTGTACTTCTAAAGATGAATATAATGGTTTATACCTAGAGGAATGTCTTAAAAATATAAGTAGGGTATTTACAGAAGGTCGCAGTGTAGAAAAGTCAAAGAAGCCCAAGTACCCATTTATCTTCAATGTACAGGGATGCTACGGTTTATTTGCAGTAGCAATATATTGGTAAGTTTCAGGTATTAGACGTTTTAAAATTAAATGCTGGATCAGTCTATGCAAGTTAGAATTCTTTTATTTTATGGTAAATTTCTTTATATATTTTATTTTGGAACAAACTTCATATTCGGAAAAATAAACTGTTCTATATTAGTACATTGCTTATGTTTCTATTTGTTAGTTATGTATGTTAGGGTATATGCTACAAAATATATACATATATTACCTGTCTTTGTTGGGTGACTTATCATGTTGCGATAATGAGTGTTGGGGCGGTGGCATGGAATAACAAGTACTTGGTGAATAACCGCCTGGTGGAACTGGGTAACCTGTTGTAACAGGTCCAGGATATCCACCGGCACATGAGTATCCACTTGGTGGATAGGGTGAGTAGGGGTTTGAGGCATAATCACTGGCTACTGTCGTCATACCATAACCAGGATGGGGACTCATAGGACCATAACCTACAACAATTATTATTTAATATCTTTGCACATTACTTAAAAAAAATATATATTGCAATTGAATTTAAACATACCTGCAGGATCCCGGTAAGCATCCATATAATGACTTCCGCCACTGTCAGGAGTTGATTCTCTGCTATATCCTGCGCCAGGAGCTAGTACTGGTCCTCCTCCAGGCGTTGATGCAAATGACGCTACAGGTCGTACTCCACTGCAATTTAAAAATGTTTGTTCATTATCACAGATATGTATATATATATATATATATATATATATATATATATATATATATACATTTTCTATAAACATAAAAAATAATATCTGCAAAAGCATTTTTTATCATATCTCATTTTATCTCATCGCCTGGCTGTTTGACATATTAAATATCGTTACGGTCCTCATAGAACCGTGAATTTAAATGTTGTTAGTCATCTCTATGAACATTTATACTTCCAAAAAGTTTAACAATATACCTCATATTTATTAAGTTATTATCATTATATCCTGAAAAATTACTTCAAATATTTTGAAAGGCAGTTCATTATATTTAGACCGGTCTACTCGGTGTATGGATTTACAGTGCTCGTCTAACGTCCACTCATATAATCGTATATTTTTAGTTCAGCGTTTGAATGAACATACAAATAGAGAACTATTCATACGTTTTGATTGTCAATGTTTTGGCAACCATGAAGTGAACAAAATTTTTTTTTAAATTCGCGTTAATAACATCAATTACCGCCATGTAATAATGTACAAGCAAAAGAAATACAAAATATATTTATAACCGAGTATTGACAATACAGAAACTAATTTGTTCTAAATAAACAAAGTGTTAGAATAAGTACTCACCTGTGGGACAACCTACTAATGCTGAGGTCCAGCGTCTGTCCCTGAGGACTCGGAACTTGCGGACTTGCCGAAAGGTGCGGACTTGCAGCCGCTTGGGGGCTGCCTCCGACCCTTTGGCCTGCTCCTCCATAATGCGGTGAGCTGTACGCTACCTGGAAAATATATAAATAGACGGAACTTAATGACTTTTTTAATTATAATTTTAATTTTTTAAAACTTTGCAATGAAAGATAAATTAAACATAGAATATTTATTTTTATAAATAAAGTGAATTTAATGAAATAATTTTGGATATTATTTCATACTATTTAACTAGTATGTGGTAAATTAACTATGTAAAGTACTCTGTCAATGTATCTGTATCTATCTATATATAAAGTAAACGATTGCATTTCTTTTTAACTCTATTTTCACCATTTTCCTACACATCTTTCGCGGTTTACTTCTCATTAGGGAAACTTGTAAGAACACAAGTTGAACTAAAACAATGTGGACTATCTTGACTACATGACCGTTATAGTAACATAAAATAGCTAGTAGCGACCGCTATATGAACAAACAAAAAGTCAGAACACTTCTCATCGATGGCGAGTTAGGTGAACGGCGAAATCAAGCTTACTGGAAGCTACTGGACAATTTTAGAAAAAAATTTTTATCTGAACAATATATCTACAGTTTACCCTTGCAAAACACTATCATTTTCATTCTTTATGTAGAGTAATGAATTTGAAACAAAGGTAAAAAATTGAATTTCTTTTCAACTCGAGTTCCATTATTCCCCTAGACGTCTTTTAAGGTTTACCTTTCGTAAACTCTCGATGTATTGTCGAAATAAAAGGTTATTCCTAATATCGTCCAATAGCTTCCGGTATGCTTGGATTGCAATGAAACAAGCTAAAAGTGGTAAATCTCCCGGGCCTGATGACGTTCCTATAGAATTACTCAAAATTGTGAATTCTGAATCTATTGATCTTCTTTTGGATCCATTCAATACCATATATATTTCTTTATGTGCCGTCTTCTACCGAAGGTTGGCGATCATCATACGATAGGTTTCTCTGTTTTTGCCGCATGAATTATGTTCGCAGCTTCTGGTATTTGAAACCATTCTCTCAAGTTTCTCAGCCAGGATTTCTTCTTTCTGAACCATATATAGAACAGGTATAATGCCTAAAGAATGACTCCAATCGACATTCATACTGCTTCCCAAAAAAGCCGATACAAAGGAGTGCAATGAACATCGCACCATAGCCTTAATGAGTCATATCTTGAAATTGTTTTTAAAAGTAATTCACAATAGAATACATAAGAAATTAGATGAAGGCATAAGTAATACACAAATGGGATTTAGGAAAGGACTTAGAACAGAAGATGCACTGTTTGCAGTAAGTATTCTTTCTCAGAGATACTAAGATATAAATTAGGAAGTATATGCCTGTTTCATTGATTTTGAGAAGGCATTTGATAGAGTGCAGCATAATCGGCTTAAAAAATAAATACATCGGCAAACAAATCGGCTTTATTAAATAAAAACATAAAACAGTGGAGACATTAGAACCATATGTAACTTCTATTAGAACCAAACAGCAAAAAGAAAGTTGAAAATGAACTGACCGAGGATATTCAGATTCGCCGTAGGGTCCGAAAAGGGTGTATTTTATCACCCTTGTTATTCAATTTATACAGTGAAGCTATCTCAGAATTAGAGCTTGACGAGGTCAGTGAGGGTCTTATAATAAATGGTGAGACATTTAATAACATAGTATATGCTGACGAATTACTTTAACATGGGCAGCCTTTGGAAAACTGCGAGACACACTTAGGGCCAACATACCAATCAGCCTCAAAAGAAAAGTGTTTGACCAATGCGTATTACCGGTCATGACCTATGGGGCGGAAACTATGACTTTAACCAAGACCACGGCTTCGAAACTGAGAGTGGCACAGAGACGAATGGAACGGTCTATGCTGGGAGTGACGTTGAGGGACCGAATAAGAAAAGAAGATCTGCGAAGAAGGACGAGTATTACTGATGTTGTGGAACGCATAGCGGAACTAAAATGGAACTGGGCAGGCCATGTAGCGAGAATGCACGATTCACGATGGACGAACAAAATTACAAATTGGAGGCCAAGAGCAGACAAACGCAGTAGAGGAAGACCACCTACACGTTGGGCCGACGACATCAGGCGTATCACTAAAAATTGGCAACAAAGAGCACAAAATCGTGAGGAATGGAGGAGTTTAAGGGAGGCCTATGTCCAGCAGTGGACGTGATAAATAGAGGCTGGATGATGATGATGATGATGCTGACGACACCGTCCTTCTGGCAGGAACACTAGAAGAACTGCAACACCTTGCTGAACAACTAAATATATATTGTAACGATTATGGACTATAAATAAATTTGAAGAAAACCAAGGTCATGGTATTTACAAAAGTTCAAAACATCGAAGTTAAGCTAGTACTAGATAATACAAAAATTGAACAAATATCTCCGTACAAATACCTTGGAACATGGTTCACAGAAGATACTGATCAGACAAAAGAAAAAAGATGCCGCATTGAAATTTCACGGTAAACTTTTAATAGAATGAGAAAACTTTTTTGTAATCGCGATATCAATATATCGCTTCGGATAAAAATGCTTCGATGTTATATTTTCTCTACTCTTTTAGATGGGGTTGAAGCTTGGACACTTAAAAAATCCAACAAGTAAAACTTAGAAGCATTCAAAATGTGATATTATCGATGTATTTTGAAAATATCATGGATGAATCGTAAAATAAACGAACAAGTTCTCGAACAACTAGGAAAACAATGCGAAGTTTTAAATTTCATAAAAATCAGGAAATTGAATACTTGGGGCACATCATAAGAGGTGAAAAATAGGAACTACTAAGGAATATAATGCAGAGTAAAATCAAAGGCAGAAGAAGCGTAGGAATACAAAAAATCTCGTGGTTACGCAATCTCCATGAATGGTTTAATTAAACTATTCAGGCGCGTAACCAACAAAATTATAATTGCCAGAATGATTTCCAATCTCCAATAGGAGCGGAACTTGAAGAAGAAGCTTGGATTTATAGTTCAACTAAATCCCCATCGATGACAAGTGTCCTGACTTCTTGTTTTTTCAACACAGGCATATTCTGTTACTATAATAGCCATTTAGACAATAGCATTTTAATTTAACTCGAGGTTTTACAGGTCTCCCAGACGAGAGGTTAACTTCGAAACCCGTATAGGAGACTGATGGAACTCAAGTTGAAATAAAAAAATGCAATCAGCTTTCATTTACAAATAAAATGAATTTAATGAAATCACTTTGATATTTATGTCATACCATATATTTACTTAATCTCTTAATGTAAACGTCATTAGGAAATATATATATATATATATATATATATATATATATATATATATATATATATATATATATATATATATATATATATAGACATAATGCAGCCGAGTCTCTGTCGTATTTGTGTTCGTGTTCTACCGCATTCTTAAATGAGATACCAAAATCAGAAATCGTCTTAATTAATGTCATTCGTCCCCATTAAAATTGCCACAATCGTCAATGAGACGGTTTATCTCTGTTTATATTCGAACTTACCTGTGGACTAGTAGTGGTGACACTGGACGTCGACAAATCGATAACAGTGCCCCCTGGGGACGTGTGCGGACCCTTCATTTGAGCAGCGTGAGCCGTTGTCACACATTTCACAGATAAGTTAATTGCTGAAAAGCCAACTGGAAGGGGAGCTCCGCTGGAGGCATCATACTGATACATTGGTCTGGAAAATTAAAACCGGCCAAAAATGTATCATCGTTTGTCAAGAAAATTGAACTTTAGTGGCGTAGAACTAAGGGATTGCAAGGTATCAACAAAAAAATATGATTTCATACGAATATTTTGAATTTACCATATATAATAGGTATATATTATAATATATAAACTATTTTTTAATATATAAAAACAATCATGTAAAAAGTATAAAAAAGATAATTTAAATCCAAAAAAAAACACCAAATACCATAGTTAAAAAGTAGACCGTATCAAATATATAACCTTTTAAATTATTTTATTAAAAATATTAATCTTTAGAAACACCTTGTCAATGTAAGAACCTATTGGTTATTGTAGTTATTGTTTATGCTTTTGTTGAGTATGGAGATGTTTGGCTGATTTATTCTTAAGGTCGATTCAGACCCATCAGTCCCGTCATAGTCTCGGCGCCGAACCGGTCCTGTTTTTTCACAGAACTATCAACTATCTGACAGCTGGGAAACTGTTTGTCAACTGATGAGTGTGAATGCCGGCAACATATTTGTATTAAAGAATATTTTGTATGACGGATTGTTCGGTTCGGCGCAATCACTATGACGAGACGTGACTGATGTGTCTGAATCGACCTTTACTTGGAACGATCAGCTGTTTCGATAGTACTGAGTTATTGAAAACCTTATGTTTATTTTACTTTTTAACTTTATATTTTTTTATTATTAGGACAGCGTTAACTTTTTGGTCGTTTTACTTGTCTAACGATATATATTACTCTTATCTTTTAAATTAATTTATATTTGTTAAATAAGTATATTCCACTGTTGACTCTATTTTCACAAAATCTTTAGTTAATCATAGAGCTATAGTTTTTACATAAATCTTAATTTAACCAGATAAGGCATTATTTGTTTTTTTAATAGTCTATACTGCTGCATTCATATTTATACAAATAAAAAAACAAGAATACTTGAGTTACTTTCTATTGTATACAAAAACACAAGCCTAATTTACCTTGGATATAATGGTCCAGTTGATTCAGGTTCTTCTGTCTTCATCATACTTTGGGCATTAGCAACTGCAATTTGATGCTGTTGCGCAGCTGCAGCCTCTTGTTGGTACCTCTGTTCCTGTTGATCGTCGATATACCCGTACATACCCTGCGGTGGAACCCTTGAAGGACCCAAGGGTTGTTGAAGGGACACACATTGGCTGGAATCGTATCTGAAATGAAAAAAATTAAGTAAGCTTACAAATAAAATTAGATAAATTTTTATAACACTGACTAAAAGTACACGCCGCTTAAGAGTACGCCTTTTTCCTCTATTTTAAACCGGTCAATTTTAGCGCCAATTTGAAATAAAAAACTTAATTTCTCGTATTTAATACCACTTTGTAGCTTTTAATACATAGTTTCTAGGTGTACCACAATACAGAATAATAACTTAATAAATCAAAAGATATGTGTCTGAAAAAATCCTGAAGAGACATTTCGATAAGTTGTTTGCTAAGTTGAATTATTGTGGAATAAGTACAAGGCTATTGAAATAGATTTCAGCATTTCTTACTGATCGACATTTTCGAGTAATCATCAATGCTACTTTTAGTGACGAGAAAGAAGTAATAAGTGGAGTTACCTCGGGATAGATGTTCGAACCTATCTTATTTAACACAATATACTTTTTCACTAAAATATAATTTCGCAGAAAACAGTACCGCTATCAAAAATATTTAAATCATATGTGTGTGGAGCACTACGTGGCTTTTACTGCTAAATATTTACATCCCAAAATGGACGGTGTTTTGCAACAACACTACCACATTTGTTTACAAATGAGATTAGATGTGCCAAACTGTCCATCATAATGAATACTACATCAAATAAAAATGATATAAGCCATATCCATACTCATGGAGGCGTTTGTGAACTAAGTTCTAAACCACATTCGTCAAATAATATGAATACAGAAATTTGTAAAAATAGTCTAACCCAAAAAAAATAATGAGACGCAAACTCACAAATAGAAATAAACAAATAGTCAAACTCAAGGATAGAAATGGCAACATCACATCAAACAGAAAACATTTGTTACAAATTATGGAATCATTTTATGAGACATTATATAGCAACGAATCGACTCTAAGTTGAATATCAGCAGACGAAGGTTCAAAATCAGGGTTCCGAAGATATCCCAGAAATCTCCTTGAACGAAATTTACAAGGCTCTAAAAAACAAGAAGAATAACAAAGCTCCGGGGGAGGACGGTGTCGTCACGGAAGCGATAAAGATAGGAGGCTCAGTACTGATAGCCAAAATTCAAAAGCTCTTTAATCTATACCTATGGAATCAAAATATCCCAAAAAAGTGGAATAATTTAATAAATGTACTCTTGCACAAGAAGGGATATATAGCAGACCTGGAAAGATCTGACCAATCAGTCTCCTTAACCATCTTTATAAATTATACACCCGAATAATAACGAACAGATTAGAGACAAAGCTGGATTTTTACTAACTTCGGGAACAAGCCGGTTTCTGCCCTACTTACGGCACAAACGATCACCTGCAGTGCCTAAAAACCCTGAGAAAAAACTAACGAATATAACTGTCCCTTGACATTAAGTGGAGTCAGGCAAGGTGATACCATGTCACCAACGCTGTTCATTACCGTTCTTGAGTATCATTTAAAAGACTAACATGGCAATAGAAAGGAATATCCATCGATGGAGTGTTTTGCGGACGATATCGTGATTCTGTCACATAATCTGGGAGAGATCAAAGACATGGTCTAAGAACTGAATGACATACTACAAGAAACTAGGCTGGAGATAAATTTCGAGAAAACCAAAATGATGAACAATATAGTTCCCAGCGAAGAGATACAGATCAATAACAACAAGGTAGAATTAATCGATAAATACATATACTTGGGTCATGAAATTAGAATAACCAGAGACAACCAAACCTGCGAGCTAAATAGACGAATCACGTTGGGATAGGCGGCATATGGGAGGATGAGAGACATTTTTAAAACAAATATCCCAATTCATCTGAAAAGGAAGGCATTTAACCAATGCATCTTATCAGTCTTGACCTACGGAGCAGAGAACCTAACTTTAACGAAAGCTACTGCCGAAAAACTAAGGGTAACACAAAGGCGAATGGAGAGATCAATGCTGGGCCTGACCTTGAAAGATCGCGTGAGAAATGAGGAGATACGCCGGCGAACTGGCGTAGACGATATTATACTGCGAATCACTAAACAAAAAAGGAGGTGGGCTGCACATGTTGTTAGAATGGAAGACGGAAGATGGACGAAGAGATTATTGGAGTGGAGACCAAGAGTCGACAAGCGAAGTCGAGGCAGACCACCCACCCGATGGACCGACGACCTAAGGAGAATAGAAACAATCTGGATTACAGCAGCTAGAGATAGAGAGAACTGTAGACGTTTGGACGAGGCCTATGTCCAATCATAGATGTGAAAATAGGGCTGGATGATGATGATGATGATGAGTCTAACCCATGTTTTCATTATATGTGAGTTAGACGCTTGTTGCCAATCTTTGTAAGGGTCTTTTCATTGTGTGCACCAGATTCAAAATATTAAATTAAAAAAATCTTTATTTTGACTTATTAAAAAACGAGAAATTTAATATTACACTAATATTACAAATTTTATTTAAATAAATACAATTGCGCCAAACTAGAGGCTTTATCTTTAATGGTAAAATACGAAAATATATTATTTAAAGCTCTGAATTTTCTGTGTTTTCAGCTCGGCAATTGATTAAAGAAATTTTTAAATTCTTTTTATCACAGATAGTGTACCGAAAAGGTAACATAATATGTTTTGTGATTACTCGTAGGTTGGTGTCATAAATGCCGATAAAAAATTGCATTATCAAATAACGAAACCTATTGTTCATTATATAAAATATTGGAACTGTTGCTTGATAGTCAAAATTCTGGTCAGCAAAATATTGTACGCCTTTTTAACAAAGGAGTTTGATATTTCAACATATTGTTTTAAACTTTAAACTAGTGCGACAAGTTGTTATTTAGACTGTTTACAGTAAATATAATTTTTTATTTAATAAACCTTTTATTTAATACTAACAGCAAACGGCAAACTAATTTGGATTTATGATAGCTAAAACCTTTACCCCTAGCTTTGGATTTTACCTATATTATAATACTTGCACATACAGAAATATAAATATATCAAGTTTAAAATTAGCTACGTTTTTGGAATAGTGGTGTTAGATTTTTTGTGCTAAGTTCGCTATAACAAAAAAATTATTTGTTATAGCAGTTGTAAAAAACGTTTTGTAAATGTAACATTTTTACTTCGTAATAATATATTAAAAGTGGATGTTTGAAGTGAGTACCTAATACTCTTATTTTATTTTAGAGGATCGATATTTCAAGAGGAAAGCTAGTAGCGAACTTGGGGATTCAAACAATGTCAACAAACTTTGGCCACTGATCCTCGAGAACAAAAAACAAGTAGTTCTTGTAGTACTCAGAAAAACATATCTGCTGAAATGGATTTTGATGAGCCATACCAGTCCTCTGGTAGTGAATATTTTCCTGAATCCGAGGAAACTGATTCTGCAGAAGAAAGGAGGGGCCAAGAGGATATGGAAATCTACTTAAACATAACAAAATTGATGACAGAAAGAAACGAGGAAGATAAAAAAAAACTAAATCAATCAGAACCAGACAGAAAAAAGTTTGCAAATTGTAACCAAAAATATGTTTTGACACGAAACAAAACTGTATTACCTAAAAAGTTTAATAAATATTACTCTTGTCCATGTTCAAGGAAATGTCACGATATTATAAATTTTGATTTTAAAACATTTTTCGGCCAGTTTTGAATTATAGGGACATTTGAAGGGTGCTCTTCTTTACTTAGCAAATATGTTGAAGAGGGCGACAAGAAAAGATGTTACACAAAAAACCAAACATCAAGAAGTCAAGAAAATACTTTATAGATGGCAATCTCGTTTGCAAAGAAACCTTTTTAAATACACTTCAGATCAACCATTATAGAATCCACGTAGCCTTAGATCAAATAAAAAGTAATTTTATTAAAGATAAAAGAGGTATACATAGTGGAGTAAAAAATGCAATTAATGAAGAAAGAATTGAAAATATTAAGATGCACATAGCTGCACACGACGGACTCTAAATTTTTAAATCCTGACATAAATTTATCAAAAATGTATCAATTCTACACAGATACTACAGAAAACAGTGAGTCTTCCGAAGTATAAAAGCGTCTTTTATTTAAATTTTAATTTAAAGTTTAAAACACCACATAATGATATAGTATCCACGAATACACCACGAATGTGTCATACATACAAAGCTAAAATTAGTTCTGCACAAACTACACAGAAGGAGAATCTAGAAAGAAATCAAAGGGAACATTTTGAAATTGCAAATAAGTTAAGGAGTGAAATGAAGGCTGATCTAGTATGCGCGCAAGAGGATGAAACACTGTAGATCCTGACTTTGATGTCCAAAGAACTCATTCTTTATCAAATATATCGACTGGAGTCGCACATATCAAAAGACAGTTAAATTTACTTAATTTAGGTATTTATGTCAGCAGTACAAAAAGAGGTATTTTCCATGTATGGACAGAGCAAAAGGCAGGCAGGGGAACACAAGAAGTCGAAAGGCACCCATAAAGAAATTAATTCTATGGTTTTATTCTTGTGTGGGACAGAATAAAAGTATTAAGCTAGTATTAATGCTTATTCACATACTTCAAAAACATACGTCCCTTGAATCTATTTCGTTAAAATTTTTATTTTCTGGGCTCAGTTTCCTGCCTAATATTTAACATTTCAGAGATATCGAATGTGCTCTTAAAACCCATCAAAGACTGTACACTGACAACGATTACATAGAAATAATAAGATCTTGCCGAGTAAAAAATAAATTTATTGTAAACCGTCTAAAAAAAGAAGAAATGGTTTCAGTTAGTCTCCTGCTACAATCTATAACAAATCGCAAAACAGATATAAATAAGGATGTTATTAATTGGCTAAAAACACATGTAATACATATTACGAAGGAAAGTCCTATAGTTTTGTACATGAAAAAACATGTGAGAGATCAACAATTTTCGGTTGAAAAATCGAAAGGTCGAAAACCCGTTTTAAAGAATGTAGAGTTGCCACCCTTGTAGCCAAGTGGCAAACCACTGTCCGTTGAAAAAATAAAGGACCTTCACAGTTAATTCCCCAAGATGCCAATTTCGATCTTGCAAAAACCGTCTAAGCTGCTTTAAATATTTTTTCAATTAACTGATTTTACTTATTTTGCTTTTTTAAGATGAGCCTGTAATTATTAAAATATAAAAATGTGAAAATAAAGCGTTGTTTTCTATCAGTGAATTTTTTAAAGTAGGTAGGTAGATAACTATATATGTGTGGTTTAGACAATTATTACAGAACACCATCCAAATATCCATGCTCTAAATTAAATGCACTTACATTTTCATCTCAGTATTATACTTAATTACAGACTATTAAGGAGTGAACAAACTTTGCAGGAGAAAAAAGCAAAAATAGTCAATCATATATTTATAATAAAAAGTATTAACTAAGTGCGATATTCAAACTGTTGTTCAATATATATATATATATATATATATATATATATATATATATATATATATATATATATATATATATACATCCAATCCTAGAGTTGGCTAATCCTTTGTGATATGTTAATCTCACGAGAGATATCAAGTTTCGCTCTCTATCATCAATGCGATATTATCGGAATATTTTTAAATAATACGGACAAAAGAATTAAAAACTAATAACAGTTACCAACTATCACGGACCTGGACGTATTAAATACTGATGGGAGATTAAGAGGCAATATCCTGAAGCTTCTATCCCGAAAACCTACCTGATGAAATTGCTCGTTTTGTAAATAATTTTAAACATTTATACGACCTATAGTTAAAATCTCTTGTTTTATTGTATTTTATAAGATTTTCATCTCAGATAAGAAATCGTTTCTCAAATTTTAGATGTGTAATAATATTAATAATAGTGAAATTGTTGAAATACCTTTCAAAACTGTTGGTACCAGGATCATATGGTCGGTGTCCTGCAGAATTTATTAAACCGGATTCGTAAGGCCTAGCTATTTCATTAGAATATGTGACTACCGGTCTCGCAATACTATTTGGACCTATGGGTTCGTTCATGTCTGCGTACGATCGTTCCCTGGTATACATTTCCTCTGACATAGGTGACTGGTGGTATGGAGATCTATGAGGCATTTGGTGTTCCATACTGTACCTAAACGTAAAATATGTTACATATTAAAATTGTATATATTTTATAAACATTTTATATGAACAGGAACTGTTGTGTAAATTGCTCTTTACTATGAAAATATTTATAATAAATACATACCCTGGTTGTTGTGGATTATGATGAGGTCCCATATGAGATGTATTATGATGTAGTTGATGCTGATTCCTTGAGTTCATGGCGTCCATACTGGACATAGATGATGAATTTGAGTCTTGATTCATGTACGGTTCGTATGCTGACCTTATTCCTGAAGGAGGCGACCTACAAGAAAAAAAAATTAATAATAAATTTAATTAAATTATTTAATTAATTATTTAAATAATTAAATCATAAATTTAATATCTAAATAAAAATCATCTAATATTAATGCAAAGTGTGAATCATAGTCATTCTTTCTAGAGTATATATTTACTGTTACAGTTTAAAAAGATAATGCAAATAAATGTTTAGAAGTAAAAATTCAGTAGTTGAACTTGCAATGCCTTAAAAGTTTAAAACTGTAAACCAACAAATTATAGAAGAAATGCGCTTCTTAATGTTTTCGGTACATCCACACAAGTTTAATTCTCGTCACTACAAACGCAACACATCATATACATAATGTAAAACTGCTCTATCCTTTTAGTAATTCCTCCTCATTCTTTGTGCCTTTGTCAGGGCATGGTGATACTCTAAAATATTGTTAGCATGCTGTCACCATTGGCTGCGATTATTGGACGGCTCCATTAGGTCCATAGATTTTCCCACCACAATCTTCGTTTGGTCTGCCCATAGTGTTAGATATATTTTTCTTGTTCTTCGATCTTTTACCTTTTCTTTTAGCTATATGGCCGAAGTAAATTCGATATGCTCGGGTTATTTTCTTTTAATAGCTTGTCTTTTATATGAAGCTCTTCTAGAATTAACAGGTTGGTTCTATGTTCTGTCCAGGACACGCATAGAATTCTTCTATACACCCACCACATTTCGAAGGCTTCGATCTTATTCTTATCGATTTTATTGAGAGTTCATGTTTCAGCTGCGTATATAGCAATGGGAAAAATAAGGACATTGACCAACCTGAGTTTAGTATTCCGTGTTATTGTTCGGTCTTTCCATTTTTTAATTAATTTAGCAGTTGCGGTTCAGGCCACTGCTAGTCTATGCTTGATTTATGAGGAGCAAGTCCATTGTTAGTTATCAGGGAGTCCAAGTATACAAATTTATCTACCACTTCGAAATTTGCTACTTGGTGTATACGCTGTATATTATTATTTTCTCTATTTACGATCATTATTTTTGTTTTTTGCTTATTCGGTTTAGCCCTTCGGTGATGATAAACATTACGACTTTATTATTTGTTAGTATAAGTGTGTCATCTGCATTATACAGGTTACCAATTTTTGGCTCCTTTAGTGATTTTGTAGAATCAAGAACCTTTGCCCCATCTTCGAAACAGCAGAAATGGTATGTTATGTTCCTTTACTTTTTTTTATTATCTGTCTAGTGTTCAGTATCTGTTCCCGCATTCCTTTGCCTGGTACAAATCCGCAGTGTTCTTCGGCTATCTCTGAAAGTAAAAAGTTCTTTATCCGTCAGTGATTATATGTAGCAGAATTTTGCTTGCATGAGTTAGGTCATGGTTCTGTAATTGTTGTCTCCACTGGTATGCCCTCAATGCCTGTGGGTTTTTTGTTTTTTAGTTGAATGAGAGCCTTCTTTAGTTCTACTCGTAAAATGATTGGTTTTGCCCCTCTGATTGCATGTTTTTTGTGTTGTTGTTTTTTGTGTTCTGGGACTGATGCATCTTTCGAAGTGGATTTTAATAATTGCCCTCATGTAAATGGGGATATTGAAATCGTAATACTAATCAAGGCTATCTTACGATTAAGTAGAAGAAATAAGTAGATATACTAGGTTGTTATAAATGACAGTTTTACTGTTATCGCTGCAATATCCTGATGTAATGACTATATTCATAAGTTTCTTCAAAACGACTTCACAAGCTAATCCATTATAATTTAAATAAATTTTTCAAGAACAAGAACGAAACATAAGCTACAATGATTATAGAATTTAAATCCAGAAACTACCTATCGGAATTTGGTTATTTTATTTTTACGTACCTGCAAGAACTGGGCATTTCTGTTTTTGGTACTAATAATTCCCCTTGAGCACTGACACTACAACAACTGGTAGTCGTAACTTCAGTTTTGGGAATTTTCATAGGATCGGGTTTTACTGGTGTAGTTTTTGTGTAGTATTGGTCGTAGTTTGATTTTATCTCTTCCGATGAAGAAGTGGGCGGGGGTGGATTTCCGTAGTTTACTAAGTAGTTAGGTTTAACGTCCTCTGACGTCGGTGTCCTTTTTCCTTCGTAGCTGGGAGAAAACTCAGTTTGACAACCACCTAAAAATGGTAAATACTTTGATTAAACTTAAAATAAGCAATAATAAATAAGTAAATAAATATTTAAAATATTTTAAGAGTTAATAATCATACTCTGTATTTTTTATCTTTCTTTCAATAGTTTTGTCTTCTTGCGGTTTTTGGCATTGACATTTGCCATTTCGTTATTTGCATTAAGATTTATTCAAGATTACCCTTGCCATATGATGTGACAATATTAAATCATTTGTTGGATTCGAATGTCATCTAATTGTGTGCTGCTGTTTTATAACCTCTATAATTCGGTCACTGAATGATTGTTCTCAACGTATTTTTACCGTACTTCTCCAAAAATCCATTTTTATTGCTCACGAGTAATAAACGACTTTTTTAGCTGAAAGTGTTAATTTATTTGACGCGTTTATGGAAGATTTTTGTTAATTTATAAATGTTTAATGATCGTGTTATACTTAGGCTTAATATTAATTTTTGTTTTTGTTTTCGACTATTTCTGTCTTCCTTTACTTCAGTGTATTTTATTCTGCGTAGAACAATTTTTTTGTTTTTTTTTTATAAACCATGGCAAGTTGCTACATCTAGTAGTATTCTTAATGTCATAAGATGATTGTCAACGTTCATGCTACTATACTTACAGTAGGAGACTGTATCACTAATATTTTATCAAGCCGTATCATAGTGTCAGATTAAGATTTCGTAAGAAAATTCGTAAGAAATTGGCCGGTTTTTAAGAAGACACCAATTCCTTTTATTTTTAACAAATATATACCAATAGCCAAAAAAACGCAACACCTAGAAGGACAATTTGTTTTTAAATATTTAGTTGTGGAAGTTTACATTATAATATTCTTATTATTTGATAAAATTATAAATAAATTTAGAATGTCATTTTCTTTAAAAAACTAATCATGAGTGGCTCCTTTTTTATTTTCTATACACGCAGTTAGTCTATGGGGCATTGATCAAACTAAGTGGTCTATACCCCATTGAAAAATACTTCAGACCAGATCTTGTAAGTTTGCTGGAGGACGTGGCAATCGATTTAGGTTTCGACCTACCATGAACGTTATCCTGTTGAAAAATCCATTTGGAATGGTTTGTAGGTAGGTGTGTAAAACCAATTAAAAAACTTTACAAACATATCGTCGAGCTGTCAAAGTGCCGTTAATAAGAACTAGAGGAGATCTGCTTACCAAACATATAGCACCCCATACCAGAATGCTTGGTTGTTTTGTCTCTCTGTATGACGTTAAACAATGAAGTTTATATTTCGTCTCTGAGCTTGGAAATGTAATATCCTTATGCGTTTATCAGAACCACCCAAACAAAACCTAGATTTATCACTAGAGCAGATGAAATTCCAATTGCCATTCAAGTTTTACCGATCGCTGCACCATTTTTATTGTCCAGATTTATGCTGTGGTTTTAAAGGTAACACCAAATGTGGACGGTAAGCTCTCAGTTCCATTCCAAGTAATCTTTAATTAACTGTTTTTCTGAGACTACCCTTCCTGCAGCTGCAACTAAATCATCTCTCACTTGATGTATACTGTTCCATCTATTTCTGAGTGCAAGAAGTCTAAGATGGCGCAAATCAAGCCTTACAATATTCTAGGACGCCCAGATCCTCCACGATGCTGATATATCTCATCACTGGACTACCTTCTCCAAACTCGTTAATAGATTAGCTTCAACTCACCGTGAAATTTGCCATAAACCAAAACCGGCATCTTTCATGCCTACAATATATGTCCTTTTTCGAAGTCGCTTAAATGACGAAATTGTCAACGACCACAAACTCTTGGCAATATAAATTTTTTGAAAAAAATCAAAAACAATCGAAAATGACTAAGAATTACAAATAAACTAAAGTTAAATACCTAAAAGAAACTTTCTTATCTTTCTGGGTTTTGCAACAAAAAAAAAAAAGAAAAAACTTCAGTATTTGATTTAATTAATAATCGTATAGAAAATCTTGCATTTTTTTGGTCATCAGATATTTACAATTGCAGTATTCTTATTTAAAATTTTCTCCGTTTTTATTTTCTTCACACAAGAACCACCATATTTACACCAAGAATTAATTATTATATAGAACGAAAATGAAATATGTACTCACAATCTATTTAATAGTAACTTTGACGACCTCTTTCGGGCACAACAAATTGTTGCTCATCATCAGGTAACCGATAATGCTACTTAAGAGCATAAAGAAAATTACAGTTGTTGGTGTAAATTATGCCAACATTAAGTGTATTTGATTTTTGTGTATAAATATACCTAATCTTAGTATAATTTATACCAGCACCTGTAATTATTTTTAGCTGCTAAGTACGGGGGTTAAAAAAACAAATTAACTGAGATTCAAATTAAAGCTGGAAGGTTAGATAATATAACAAGTGATGGAGTTTAAATATCTATGCATCACATTATCTATCTACGAAAAGCTCGAAACTGAAGTGGAAGATCAAGTAAATAGAGCAAACAGAGCCACAGGTTGTCTGAATGAAATAATATGGAGAAATAAAATTATCGGGACAGAAATGACACAGAGAGGAGAAAAAGGATATTGGAAAGAGCGGAGATGAAAACACTTAGAATTGATGGTAAGACACTATGAGATAGAGCTAGAAGTACAGTAACATTAAACACTGAGTAATAAAGAGAAGAGTAGAATGGAACGATCATCCAAGCCGAATGACAAAAAATACAGAATTAAAGACGGTAAGAGATGGTTCCCCAATAGGAACACGATCAGTAGGGTGACCACGAAAACGATGGAATGACAACTTACTGGAGGCACATTGGAAAACAAACAGAGTCATGTCTACACAAAAAGAAGAAGAAAAAGAAGTAAGGGTGGATAATAAGTAGTAAATTATAGTGTTTGAAACCGATCGTATAATTTACTATGAAAAAAATTATGAATGTCTTTCTTTTTCTTCCCATTCTTCCTGTTAGAAATGGATTTATATATATAATCGATTATTAAATTCTTTTAGTACTTTATTTATCTGAGTTTGCAGTTTTTAATCTTTATATTGATTATATTGTTGGTATACCGAACGCTGTTGCAAATTTTTTATTTAGTTTTATACCTTTTTCTGACTTAACCAGATCCAGATAAGTTTTGTCATACTTTTCTTTCGATATTTACATTTACAGTAATTTGTGTTCACGTCTTAATAAAGTCGTTGTGGCTTCACTAGAAATTATGCTTCTATGTTCATGTCTCGACGCGTCGTTTAAGTATAGTTACTTTCTTTACAAACATCATATTAGTTTTTCTTATTTGATTTTATCAAAATATGATTTTATAGTCTACAAAAAAGTAGGTATATTTTTTAGATTCCGACACTCCTGTATAGACATAACATAAACTGAACAACATTTCTCGTGTTGCCATGCCTAATATGAAATTTAATTCACAAATCTTCTTCACATTTCTTATAAATTCTTCTATAAATAATTCTTATAAAAAGATAAGTAAGAAAGTCAGTCATATAAATAAGCAAGTTATGGGCATTTAAAGAGTAAATATTTGTGCTGGTAGATCTAAGGAGCAGTCTTCCATAAGCTGTGTAATGTCGCTATTTAACATACATGTTAGCAAAATCAAAATATATTGATAAACCAATTTAAAATACATATTATTTATTTGCTACTACTACTCCTCAAAGCATTTATGAAAAACACAATGAAGAACCAAAAACAAGAAACAACAATGATTTATGCAAACGATCTTACCGCTAAATTGAGGTGAGCCCGTAGGAGTTTTAACTCTCTGCATATTCGATTGATACTTTTGTTCCCTTGCAGCTTGTTTATTAGCTGCGGCTGTGGGACAACCCGATAAGCTTCTATGTGTATTTCTATTCGAACTAACGTGTCCTCTACCGTTGCATCCAGGTGTCGGGCACTTAAGGATGGTCTCGTGCATTGCCAGGACTGCGGTACAACAGAATCGGTTTTAAAGAGTAGATATATTTGGATCTTATTTTTGGATCATTACTAATCTGTTTTTGTAGTTGCAATACGCATATTAAACATATAATATGGGTGTACGAATTTGAATACTATAGAATCTTTGAATATAATTACTAAACAAAGATAAACATAAAGATACAATTTGTGGATCTTAATAAATTTGTTAGGGACAACTTACAGCTTCGAATTATTTTGTTAAATAAATTAAAAAAGTGTTTTCATGTAGAAAAAAATTGTTGCTATATCCCACAACTATATTGGATCAAAAATAACACCCACGTAAACAACATACATTTATACATATTGTGTACGTTTTGTCCTTTCATGATAAAAACATAGTGTTAAGATATATCGATGATCTGTCTCTAAAATCCTTAATATTTTTCACTAAGCCCACAACACGAAAGCTGCCTTTTAAATTATTATTATTTATATTTTGACATTGTAGTTGACTATAATTACAAATCTATACTAGCATCAACTAGAAAATAGTTAGTAGATGGTCAGCAAACATAATTTCATACAGGAGGATTAGAGTAGGAAATCGAGCACCAGATCTGGCTAGAATGGAGAAATTAGTAAATCTTGACAGTAACATTAATATAAGAATGCTATACAGATAAGATGCAATCGTAGAAATTAACTTCTGAATTAAATAAACTCGAGCAACGTTTGCAAAAATAAGAAACGTCCTCAGTTTTAATCCTCGAGTTAGAATGACAGCTTACTACATATTTTCAGTGCTACTATATAAAAAAGAAACTTAATTGCTAAGTAAGGCTCTATTTAAATGTCTGAAAGCCTTTGACTTCTAAATATAAACTGGATGGATAAAGTTAGAAATAAAGAGGTCATCAAAAGGATGAATTTAACAGCAACATGTTTAGGCACCCTGAAAATTATGAACTTTTGAATAATGAAGCTGTACCGAAATCGAACCCAGACCGTCCGACTTGGCTGCCAATGAGTTATGGCTGCCACAATATTATCTATAAGCAGACTAGAAAAAAAAAACAAAATAAGGCAATAATTGAAATGAAGTTTCTATAAAGAAGTTTCATTAACATTAGACAAGATAGAATAAACAACGCAGCCATTAAGAAATGTATGGAAATGCACTAATATGTAATAGATTACATACGGAAAAAATAACCCATTTGGTACAGTTATATCAGAAAAGAAGACTAAAGACACTGAAAATACTATAGTAGAAAGAAACAGAATGGAACGAGTGACAGGTGTGAATTTTGTAACAGTGAGAGAAATAATTGAGAGGATGATTGTAAATAAATCAGGTTGGACTAACATACACAGCTATATTCGTGCAGTGGTAAAAAAACGAAGAGGACGAAAGACAGCTGGACCAACAGTAAAGGTAGGAGTGGAAGAAGCAAAAAGGTAAAGCTAGAAGAGTGGGTCAAACTGTATGAGTTAGAATGCGTGAGTCCAGTGGTGAAGGAGGAAATGCCCGTCTGGGAATGATACCGTACTATGAGCAATGAGAGTCTTCTACGTGCTACCTGGAACAAGACAGGTAGCCTCGCTGCTGATGAATGGGGCGTGCATGTGTATGAATGGAGAATGAATAATAAAGGTAGTGCTTTATTCATTCTATAGTACCTTGGGAACTATCGCCGGGAGTACGAAGAACGAATCCTGCACTAAGGTCAGTCGGGCGGCGTCCTGGACTAAGATGTCTTCCGTAGATTCCAGATCCCCCCTCTGTAAAGACGAAAAAAAAAGACTAAAGACACTGGCTCAACAGAACTACAAGATGCAGTAGAATAGAAAAAAGCAAGACCTTAAAGATCGTTTGTGAAAGATAAAAAGGGTAGAACAGAACAATTATTCAAAAAAATACAGTAAAGGCTTTTGAAGTCCGTAGTAGTAGCACTAGTGTAGCACTAGTGTACTACCTCCATTTTAGATTTATATATCGAAATTTAGAAGACGAAGTTGAATGGTGCTGCACTAACCCTGCGATACAAGAGATACTAACTATACTATACTGATGGGGGACCCAAACGCTAAAATAGACCATAAGCAGGATGATTCGGAGTTTGTACTTGTACCTCTCGGATACGGAAATAGATACGAAAATGGCTTTAAACAAGAACAAAATTGTCTTTATATTATTAACAAAAAAGACGCTGTTCAAGACGTAATTGTATAAAATCAATTTTTAACCAGAAATAAACATAGGACGGTTAAAGTGAAGATAGTCTTGAACGTAAAGAAGGAAAGAAAAAATATAGGTAACGAGGACTAGAAGTATCACATTCACTGCGATTATTAAAACAAGCACATACCAGGAAGAAAAAGAAAGTAACTACAGAAAGACGTGTAAGATAAAACCAATATTAAACAGCTTAACGCAACATTGGTGGGCGCCCTAAAGAATGCAATTAAGAATTGCCAAGCCAAACAAACAAAGAAAAATGAAAAACTCACAGAAGAAACAAGAAACATATTGAAAGAAAAACAAAAATAAGCACACAATGAACATTGCAGAGCTAAGAACACTTCAAAAGCCGATAGGAACTTTAGTAAACACCGTAAAGAAACAACTAATACAATAAAAAAAACCTAAAAGTTCTACAACCAAAGTTGAAGACAGGAACAAGGAATGGTTGTAAGTTAAAAATTGATTGTGTTAAAATTTTAGCTAGTGTTTTAGTTTTGTGCTGCTTGTCTGTTCTTTCGCGGAGGAATGCAGTAAAAACTGTAACATATATAATAAACCTAATGGGGCATTCGGATTTATTATTAAAAATTGATTAGTAGAATTACAAAATCGTAAATCTTTACTGTGGTTCCAAGATAACTATAAAAAGCACACTTACTCGTCAACTATGATAACCACATAATGTTTTAACCAATTCAACTCAAATGATTAAGGAGATAAATTTGACATCAATTGGACTCTACCTAGGTTGAAATTTAGTACAGAAAATGCTATTTTTGTTTTTTTATACAAAAAATAAACACTATGATAGAAATAGTTTTAATATCATGAATGAAGTAATATGTAATAATTTATTTCAGGTGAAGAAAATCATTAACAATCTTTATAAAATATGTATAGATTGTGCGAGCTTATTTCGATCCATATTAAAAATTCTAAAACAAAATAATATACCTCTTTCTATTAGCTTATTCATTATTTCTAGAGATATTGATAGTAATGATCCAAATATACGTATCCAAGATACACCTACACTTTTGGATTGACCATTTTTTAGTTTGGCCAATCACTATTGAGTATAATAATAGTGTGGAAGACCAAAACATAAAAACTAGCGGGTAGAGAGATATAAAAAAACACAAAAGCAAAAAGAAATTCATGGTCCTTATTTACCTTATCCACACAAAAAATTATTATACTCAACGACTGATTCTGATGTACAAAAAAAAGTAGGAGTGAGCAAGGAATAATGTTTCAAAAAATAATTCGCTTGAATTATTTTTTAAAAACGTTGACGTGTGAAGGATGCTGTGAGGATGCAATTACAGAATGAATGAAAGTAAAAATGCTCTCTACCCCGCAAAAAGCAACAAAAAATAAAAAAAAAATATATGTATAACAAAGCTTTGTGGTGGGCAAGTGGAAATGATGTGTCTAATTGGTTTAAAATTATTTACAAAGTATTTCGTTTGATATTTATAATGTTGGTACTGGGTTTGAAAAACTAATTTTTATACACAACTGTACATTTTAAAACTTGTAGTTATAAGCAACCCGTTTGTGAAGATTATTAGTAATTGTTACTTATCTTCACAAATATCATTATTTTGATAACTAATTTCTGGGTGTTTTTGTTTGGAAAAATTCTCGTAGGTGATATTAAGCTACTAAATTAAAGCTGCAGCTTGAATTAGGACACATTGACCTATAACTAGTTCAGCGATTTGCACTTTTGGTTTTAAATGTTTTTGGGCACCATGTATAAAATGAAAAGTGTAATGAATTAATAAACAATACGATTATTTATGACTGGTTAGCGACGTTATTTGGTTTGTATTGCTCATTTAGGTAAACAAGTGTGCGAGCGAAGACAAGTGTTTTTATATTTGTTTGAGCATATGGACATGAGCCTACATATTGATATTTTAAAAATATGTAAGTCGTAACTCTTTCGTATAATAGGTGTTTGGAAAAGTGTTCAAGACTTATTTAAATTTAAATATTTTATTTTTATTATTCAGAATATGACTTTATTAAGTTTTAAATCTTTTATTTAATTATACAGTATTGTGCGAATTAATGGAATCATAGGCTGTTTTAATGAAAAATCAGTTTATTTAGTAAAAAATTATAATTTGACAAAACTATAAAGGTTAACTTACATCATTCAGTAGGAAATATGTCCCCCTTTTGCAGCAATTGCTGCTTTTACCCATTTTGGCATAGATTCTATGAGTTTCTGGCAGTTGTCAGATATCCTTTCATCTCGATACCAAACCTGAATGGCTGCTTCTATCATTTTTGTTTTAGTGGTACAGTCGATTTTTCGCAGTCTAGCTTTGCAAATGGCCCTTAAATTTTCAATGGGGTTGAGGTTGAGCGAATTACCGGGCCAATCTAAAACATTAATCTTTTTATTTTTGAAAAATGCCATCATTTCCTTTGATTTGTGACAGGGAGCAGAGTCCTGTTGAAGAATCGCTCCTCCTTGGGGTTGACATTTTTGGAGTTGTCTGTCCAAATACTTTTCCAACATGGATTTGTATTTTTGGTTGTTCATCATGCCTTCAATTGGCACCAAAGATTCAACCCCCATGTATGAAAAACATCCCCAAAACATTTTCTTGTGAATATTAAAAAAATGAAAAAAAATTCACAGTGATTCCATTAATTCACACAATACTGTAATATATTAGCTAATTATAATATGGCTTTAGTTCTATATCTTTTAAATTCTCACTCTCAAATTGGCTGATTCATTATTGTCA